GGTCGTGTGCGGTTTTTTTTTGTGTTGATGTCATTTGCATTGCGGTTGTTGTTGCATCGCAAGGTGACGTTATGTCACCGCGGCTTGCCATCACGTCACGTCACATCGTCATCGCGTCTCCCATGTCACGTCGTCACGTCTCACAACCAGTGCATCATGTCCCGATGTCCTGGCATCATTGCATCACGTCACCTCCTCTAGGCGTCACAACACCTTTATGTGCATTCGACCTCGGTACATTGTATATGTACTGTATGCCTCGGTTTGCGTGCATTCATGCATCTTATGTATATCATGTGTTCCGTCGTGTTATTGATATATTAATTTTACCCGTTTCAGATGTCACCTAAGAGAGCTCGTACTACTACTCCGACTGCTGGTACCTTATCTTCATACAGTAGGTCTAGATTTATTTTTGGGACTACTAGGACACCTTTGGGTCACAGTTTTCCTTGAGACGTGTCTTATTTGAGCGCGAGGTAATTTTCTCTGACTTGTCACCCGACATCGCTGCTATTTTCAATTCTAGGGGTTGTGAGCCTTTTATTAGTTGAGTTGACACATCTTACTAGCCTTCTAGTTCAGGAGTTTCACGCTAACATTCATGATATAGGTGTTCGAATTTTAGGGTTTTTCTTCAGGGTAGGACAGTTAAGATCACACCTGATGTCTTATCGAGTCTAGTACATATTCCTCGGGTCGTCCATCCCTTATTTCTTTATCTGTCCGTTGATACTTTTCTGGCGGACTCTTTTATCCGTTCTACGGTGTTTAATACACCGTTAAAGAGTAGTCCCGATGCGATGCGCACTGGATCACTTCCTACTAATAGTCAGATTCTGTTGCACATTGTGTACACGAATATGTGGCTAGTGTCGCATACCTCTTTATTACCTATGGAGATAGCTTAATTTTTGTACACCTTGTTGCACGAAGACTCTATTGCTCGACCCATGTTCAATTGTCAACAGATCTTGCGTACCTTTTGTATCACGGGGACCCGGGGTGAGACTTCCTTATGCTTGCCTTATTTTCCACCTTGTGATAGCTTTTGGCGTTAGTTTTCCAGAGGGGGTTCCTCGGCTGGTTTCTTGGCCAATTGACCATACTACCATTTCTCAGAGTCGGTCTCATGCTTCTTTTATGCTTGCTGAGCCAGCTGATCCAACTGTGCGGCTGATCATATCGATGGCCTTCTCTTTTTTGATCCATCTGATTTCCCTACTTCTTCTTTTGCTCCCCCGTCCACTGGTATTCCATATTCTTCTACTTCTGCTCATCCTCTCGCTGAGTCTTTTCCTCCACCTACTGATATTCACTCTATTCTCATTGACCCATCTATTGCACTTATGGGACAGATGTCCGTACCGATCGAGCAGCATGAACGTACAATGGTGGAGATCACTGAGCTGCATGCTTTCGTTGATCGACATACTACTGACTTTACTAAGCTTCATGGTGCTATTGGATGCTATTGGTTATCTTTAGCAAGGGCTGCGATGGATATGTCATCATTGGGATGATGGTGAAGCTTCTGACTAGAGGATGAATTTTGATGATGCTAGCGATTCAGCTTAGTTGATAGGTTGCCCCTTGTCATTTTGTGAAAACAATGGTGAATAGGTGTATATATTTTTATGATGGAGTAATATTTTTGAGGATGTATATGATTTTAACTACTTGACATGATATATCTAAAATTTTGATTAAATGATAATCTCCTTTTTGCTAGATTAAGTTTTGATATTTTGTAGTATCAATATTTCATTTTGGTATATTGGGTTGCATTGATATTACGTCTTAATTTAACTTATGATATGAAACTAAAAAGATGCATTATGAGTTATTAACTGTTTAAATCATTTTTACACTGTGAACTACTTATTTTAACTGTTGGAATTTATTTTACACTTAACTATTTCACATACTTTTTACACTAGGTATTTGAACTGGCTATTTCAAGAAACAAGTTTTGATAAATGAAAAGATGAATTCGATCGAGATAGTTATTGGTTGTGTCAGTTTTTGAGTTTGTAATTTATTTCACTACTGCCTTGATTTTAAATTGTAGTTTTGTCACAGAATGCCAAAGGGAGAACTTGTTAGGTATTTGATGTAATTGGCAAGTTTGTGAACAAAATGGACTAAAATTAAAATGTTGTAAAAATCCAGGAGTTATGTGCAAATAGTGAAAATTGAGTTATTTTAGGTCTAGGGTCCGAGAATGGAAAAGAAGGAAAAAGGTGTACCAATTTCTATAGACTGTTGCTAAGACTTGGCTCGAGTGTCAGAAACAGTAACACTGTCGCTAGTTGTCGTTTGGCCTTCGCTTGAAAGCGACATACTGCCCCTCGCGTGTTGCCAAGCTCTCACTCGAGCAACAAGGTTATCCAAAAAATTTTTAATTCGTTTTCTTAAAGCTTTTTATTTGGTACATTCAATGTTTAACCTACATATAAATACCTGAACGCCTCTGAACGAGTTTTTTAAGGTTGAACATTGTGGAAAATATATTATTTTCATATTATCTTCATAAATTTGGTTTCAACCTTCGATCAGTTATTGGCTATGGTGGTGAAAATATCAAACTCAAGATCCAAATACCAAACCACTGCTTCGTTCATATTTGTCAAAGGTCCGAAAATCAAGGGAATGTGACTAGAGTTCCAGTGTTTGAAGAACGCGGTGTTTTTCGTTAATCCATAAGAGATATACGATTTCACAAAACTGGGAATATTTGTAGGAGAGATCAATTCAAGAGAATTTTGAAAACTGCAGTTGGGAGTTGATACAAGAGCACAAAATCCAGGCTTTTAATTCGTTTTCTTAAAACATTTTATCTGGTTCATCCATACATTGACCTACATATAAATACGTAAACGCCTCCGAACGAGTTTTCTAAGGTTAAACATTGTGGAAAATATATTACTTTCATATTATCTTCATAAATTTGCTTTCAACATTTGATCTGTTATTGGCTATGGCGGTGAAAACATCAAACTCACGAACCAAATACCAAACTACTGCTTCCTTCATATTTTTCAAATGTCCGAAGATCAAGGGAATGTGACTAGAGTTCCAGTTTTTTAAGAACGCGGTGTTCTTCGTTAATCCACAAGAGATATACAATTTCACAAAAAATGGGAATTGTAGTAGGAGAGCTCAATCCAAGAGAATTTTGAAAACTGCAGTTGGGAGTTGATACAAGAGCACAAAATCCAGGCTTTTAATTCGTTTTCTTAAAGCTTTGTATCTGGTTCATTCATACATTGACCTACATATAAATACCTGAACGTCTCCGAACGAGTTTTCTAAGGTTAAACATTGTGGAAAATATATTATTTTCATATTATCTTCATAAATTTGCTTTCAACATTCGATCTGTTATTGGCTATGGCGTTGAAAACATCAAACTCATGATCCAAATACCAAACTACTGCTTCGTTCATATTTGTCAAAGGTCTGAAGATCAAGAGAATGTGACTAGAGTTCCAGTCTTCGAAGAATGCGGTGTTCTTCGTTAATCCACAAGAGATATACGATTTCACAAAACTGGGAATTGTTGTAGGAGAGCTCAATCCAAGAGAATTTTGAAAACTGCTGTTAAGAGTTAGTGCAGGAGCACGAAGCTGTTGGAATTGCAGTAGGAGGTCAGAAATTACTAGTAGTAGTCGAGTCTGGCGGACTGTAAGTTTTAATTCGTTTATAGTGGATTGTTGACAGCAAAGTGCCCTGAGTTTTTATCCAATTGGGGTTTCTCCGTGATAAATTCTTGTGTTTATTTATTACTTTCATAGCCGCGATATTTCAACATAGGAAAAACTGAATTGCATTATTAATCATCGAGAGATAATTAATAGTGACTTGTTGCTATTTAATTAATAAGATTTTAATTCTGCGTAATCACATATTCACCTCCATTTAGGTGTAATTTTTGTCGAACTTCGTATTTTCAAACCAAATTCAAGTTATAACTAATTAAAGTAAACTACTTGAAGTGTAATGTTAGTTTCCAAATTAAACCATATTACCGTAATGATATTAGGCTCATTATGTAGCTCATAATTAATCATGTATCCTAAACTCGATAAAAAATCATTTTGGATAAAATCAAACAAATTTAATATCGACTTTAAATGAATATTTAATTAATCCATTTTTTAAAATTTAGTATTTTAATTGGGCATTCTAGCATGTAGTGTTTCAAATTTTGTGGCTCTGGACGATTGCCTAGTTAGCTTTGGCCTAGGGCTGGCCTTGGGACCTACGGATTGGATCTCGTAGAGTTCAATTTTCGTTCTTAACCCATAATCAATATGAGCTCGAATCATCCTTCATAAATCCCGGAACTTCTTCATAGTGGCCCTGCATCTCATTTTGGCTAAATTGAGTACAGTTTGTTATTTACTTATTTACAGTTTGCAAACTCAATTATAGAGTAAAAGCGTGTCCACTATGTGGCCAGGCCGATCTGTAGGGAGTGTAACAGGTGTCTGGCAGAAGTTTGTTGTATCTGAAAACCGATGGCAACTTGCACATGGATGCAATAGTGTATCACAAACAAAAATGCAGACACCTCTTCTTTTCTTTTTTTCTTTTACATCTGTCTTCTAAAGTTGCTTTATCGTTGGATAAGCTTGTTCTTTTCTTTTTGGCCTTTATGATATGCAGGATAGTCACGAGATGTTTATTGCTGACTTGCTGCCATTAAAAAGGTGGTCAAGAAGGTGGAGTATGCCGTCAGATCTGATGTGGAAAAATGGCATCTTTTGCATATTTGGTAACGTGCATTTCATCAAAGTGCTCTGCTGACTCCCAAACTCTTCACTAGGCAGCCTAGTTTTATATTACTGTGCACTGTGCAAAAAGAAAATGACATAAGCCACTTTATATCTATAGTTTTATCTATCTATATATACATGCGTTGTGTTTTTGATAATTCTCCCCCTCCCCTCCCCTCCCCTTCTCTTGTAATTGCTAGAATTTTGACGAGTGCTTCAATGGTTGTGAGCGATCATTTTGCGCTGTGCAAAGCAGCTCTCATTTTTGCAGTGACTAGATGGCTATTGTCCTTTGCTCTTAATCTCCTGAATCCTATGGCTCTTTTCTCAACTTCTTCGGATTCCTTGGCACAAACTTTCTTAAGAAGAAACCCAGTTTCTCCGTCATCCTCGGCCAATTTGAAGTTGGTTAAGGACAGTCTAAGCTCGACCACCTTCGGAAACATCCAAAATAGGCTGCCGGAAAACTGCGATAAGTCATGCGCAGTATGTTTAAACCAGTTGAAGAAGAAAAGCCAGGTGTGTGAGCTCAGAAACTGCCGCCACGTCTTCCACAAGCAGTGTCTTGAGAAGTGGCTGTCTTATGATGGCTGCCCGTTAACATGCCCGCTTTGCCGAGCTTCTCTACAGCCTACGCCGCTGCCGGAGCCACCGCACTGGGCGGTGGACCGTATGCTATATTTATTTGGTGATGATATGCTTACGTGATCCTTATTTAACCCTTTTGAACTTGTTCCTCCAACTGACTATTCATTAGTTAGTAAAGTAATACTAGTGGAGAAATTTTAGACCTCCGGAGTAATTTTTGTAATGTAAAGTTTTGAATCGTGTTTTCTATTCCTTGTTTATTTGATTCAAATTATAGTTGCTAAGGTTGTTTATAGTGGAAATTACACCCTCCCCTACATTTGAAAATTCAATTTCTAAAATCAGATTTGGTGTTTTAAGTTTCAAAAATCAGATATTTAAATGTATAGATACAGATTTTTTATATTTAATTAAATATTAATAAAAGTATTATGAAAATTAAATTATATACACCCCAATCCAACCCTAAAATTATCACAGCCAGTTTCTCGTCATTCTCTCCCCTCTCACACCGCTCTCTCTCTTCCCATCTCTCTCCGTGGTGCTAGCAGGTGGTGGCGGCTCCCCCTCCCCCGGCGGTTTTTGAAATCGCAGCAGCGTCGCGACGCTGCCCTGATTTTTGTTAGTCGATCAGCAATTGAGCTGCCCTAGTCGCGAATTTGGGGATCAAATTTCGAGGCAATTGGGTCAATTAAATGTGTACTCACTGTCGTTTGTGTGAAAATTTCATNATGCTCACTGAAATATACTATTGGTTACCACTTGCTCACCGAATTATAAATGGTTACCGAATGCTCACTCAACTATTCATTAATTTACACATCCATCACTGGGCTCAAATCCGTCTGTACATGTGGACAATAAATTCCACGTAGATATAAAAAAATGACTTGGATGATGAATAATCGTTTTGAAGATTCACACAGTCGCATTTTGAAGACTTCAAGTTTTTTGGAGCTTCCAATTTCGGCCAGAATAGTGGTCAGTTTTTCTTGGGTGTTTTGAAGCTTTACTTTGGTCAGATTCAAGGCAGCCTTATTCCATTCATCCTGCCAGAAATTCAGAGCTTTGTTCATCCATTTATTCTGATTTTCGGCCAGCAGACTGGTGTTTTGTTCATACGGTTTCCATGTTTGTGGAATTTGTGTTTTTAGTTCGAACTCTACCTCCGTCCTCTTGGTAGTTTGCGAATTATTGAAAATGTTCCAGATTGGAGTTCGTAATTCTAGTTCAGTTCTTCTCCCTTAACTTGGAAGGATTTGAATTTCAGTTTGCATCTTCTCTTCCATAATCCAGTTTTCATCAAGCAGTTTTTGTACACATCCACAATCGTTAATTTTTAATAATCGTTTTCCGGACGGCCAAAATCAAAGTTCTAAGAAATCAGAGGGATGAAATTTTCATCCCCTTCATCCCCAAATCTGACAGGATATAAGCCCATCTCCTCCTTTACTTCTGCAATACCGACAGGATATAAGCCAACTCACGATTCAGAGAAGTGGATGAAGAGATTTCCATGAAAAATTGACGGATTTGGTTCTTCATGGGGTTAGATTTCAATTGGGAATTTTAGATTTCTCTTCTATGAAGAATTGGAGGAGGTTGTCGTTATTTTAGAAGGAGAATGGAACTAAAATTGCTATTTTATCAATTGCATTTTTATCCACCGTGTACTCAACTAACGGCGTCATTGCCATGTCAGTTTTTCATCTTCCACGTGGGATTTATTGTCCATGTGTACTGATGAATTTGAGCCTAGTGATGGATGAGTAAATTAATAAATAGTTGAGTGAGCATCCATTGACCATTTATAACTTGGTGAGCAAGTGGTAACCAAGTGTATAATTCAGTGAGCAGCCATTTAATTAACTCTCCTTTCGTATGACAGATGATCCACTTGCCTAATAATTTTTACTCTCCAAAAGGAAATCAATTATTTCAATATTTTTTGCATTCAATGTTCGTGTATTTAAATCTTGAGTTACTCTTCTTGTACATGAGAATAACTAATAGGAGAAGTATGAGTACTGCATTGGTAACACTTGTGTGATTCCCTCCTTTTTTTTTCTTTTTTTTTTTTTATTATACCATTTTCCAATGTAAAATTGTCAAGTATCCCATGGAAATTTCGTGTCAGTATTTTCCATGTGCATATAGTAAGGCTCTTAAATCTTAAATGGTAACCCGATTTTCTAAAAAAATCTATGTTGACGTATATGTATATTCATATGGAATATGAATGTTTCTTGTCACATCTTGACACGAGGTTTTGAAACTGCAGGACGTAGAAAGGTCTCTTAATATAATTGAATTATTGGATTTTTTGAATGGATTTTGACTAAATTAGGCAAGGAATTTCCTCAAGCACAAGGAATCATTCGAAAAAGTTTGAGAGACTCCACATAGTAAGTGTTTATGCTTTATTGTAATTGTCACTTGCTTATTATTATTTATTCTCTTTAGAATTCACTTCAACGAGATAACTCATCTTGTAGCTTGCTCTATTTCGGTGACCTTTATATATTGTAACCTTATCTACTAGGGAATATACCATGTTGACTCCTAACCTTATCTACTATGTAGACCCTTCAAGAATGAGAATATTTATTATTTAAAAATGTCTCATGTTGGAATATTTTGCAAGATTCAAATCAAATGCTTGATATTCTTTCAGTGAAAAAATATTAATCGTAAATCATATATATAAACTAATTTATTTTGAAAATGAACATTTGCGATTCATAGGATCAAACAAGAAAGATTATTATTTTTCTTCTTTTTACTCTTTTATATGATTAAAAATGATATAATAAGAAAATTTGCTATCTTGATGCAAATCATCGTTTCCTTATAGGTAGATAACACACTCCTTTAATTGATTATTTTTCTTTATTTCTTCGGCTCATTTGTCTATAAAGAAAGAACGTAATATGAATTATGAAATTAGAATGCATGTAAAGAGATTATAGTGAAAACATAATTTCAAGCTTCATATTCGAGGAAGGTAAAAAGCATATGGCCGCCTGAGTCATGGATTAATACGAAGCGTATTTTGGTCCTTGAAACATTAATTATTTACGATATTTTTCAATGATATGTATATTGTTGTTGACACCTTTTTTTACATTCTTCCACATGATACCATCTTATCCTTTGATTTTCCCAATAATAATCTTTTACATCACTGTTCAGATTGTGTCACATAAGAGGAATGTCCACCATGTGATAAACTATAATGTACATCCACTGTTATTGTAATCAAAAACTAATTTGGCATATACTAAGTCAAGTGAATTTTGCAACTTCCAATTGGTCAAATGATTAAACAATTAAATAAGATTATCCATAATATTTTACTTAAAACAATAATAAAGTTAAGGCCAACATGGGTCAATTGGCTGTTGTAAAAAAGTTTGAGGGTCAAATTGAGAGTTAAAATAAACCCAGAGCCAAAATAAATTTATACGAGATAAAAATCTTTAGAGCTCAAAAAAATTTTAAATTCATTTTCAAGTATCTTAATAAACTTCATTTTAGCATAATTAAGCATGTGTGGTCCGGCTCAAAGACCCAAAAAAAAAAAAAAAAGTAAAAATGAGTAATTGGCACAAAAATCCTTATCATTTGCCTTAATTTCACAGATCAACTCTTATCATTTTACTTTGGCATTTGGGACCCCAGATCGACCATTCATTGCACAAATCGTCTCATTTCATCCAATGCTCCATGAAATGGTCACATGCAATCAACTCATGTCATTAAGTAAGGGCATTTTGATGAAGACACTATTTGACATTTTTTTTCCCGTCTAATTCTAGTCATACTGACACCATGTTTGATGCCAATTATTTTAAAATACTTTTTTTTCTCTTTTATTTTTAACAACACATTCTTTTATTAAATAATATTACACATAAATCCAAAACTTTTTTCCTTATCTTTTAGTCACATATTTTCCATCAAAACACTATTTAAAATGCATTTTTGGAAAAATAATGTGGCTCAAACAGGGTTTGAAAGTGTAATTTCATGTGTATTAAATTTTATTTTTATATTTATTCGTCAATCTTAAATGTCATCCTTCTTATACTTGATCTCGTTTTGCACCATTCAATTTGCTTTTTACTCAAACATAAGTCTTGTCCAAAAGAAAATAAATGGCAATAAGAATTTAATCTATCGTAAACATATAAAAACTATATTTGCAGAGACCGAGATAGGGGGGCAGGTCGCGCCCCCAATATTGTCCGCTGATCCACTATTTCTAGTTAATTTGTAATGTATTTTTCAGTTTCGCCCCGCAAAAATTTTGAAATTTTTATTTTTATTTCCATTAATAAATATTGATCCAATAACTTACACTTTAAAATTCAACTATACAAAAATCTTAGACCTAAACAAAAATTCAATAGTTAAATAAATAAATAGCTCAAATCCAAGAGAAGTTGCATTTTAAAGATCAATTGGAGCTATATCAAATTGAAGTTCAGCGTAACTCTCAATTTAAAAATTTGACAACACTTCCCGATGTGTGCCAACTGTTGGCATTGACAA